GGGGCCTATTAAGAAGTCTTAAGATGACTAGGAGGTCATTACAGGCATCACCTTAAAGGGATAATGAAGCCTTGGTCCCTTCCTCTTCTGCTCCCTGGCCATGAAATAAGTGGATTTGCTCCACCACACCTCCCACTATGATAGCTGCTTTGCCACAGGCCTAAAAGCAACAGGGTCAAATAATAATGGACTGGAACTTCCAAAATTGTGAACCAATAATAAACCTTTTCTCTTTATAAGTTGATTGTCTCAGGTATTTGTTATGGTGATAGAAGGCTGACTAATACACCCACTGAATCAGAAGGGGCATTTTCACAATATCCTGCAGGTGAAGCATATGCGCACTAATATTTGAGAAGTAATGATCTAGAGAAAATGGATGATTTCCAAAGGAAATATAGATACCAAAATTTAAGAATAAAAGCTGACATCGTAATTAATGTAGAGGAGATTAGGAAAAAAGAAAAAGACCTACCATTTATTTTTTAATTTTTTTAGTTGTAGATAGACACAATATCTTATTATTTTTATGTGGTGCTGAGGATCGAACCCAGTGCCTCATGCATGCTAGGCAAGCATTCTACCACTGAGCTACAGCCCCAGACCCACCATTTATAAAGAGGCATCTGACCCAAATGCTTTCACAACCGAGTTCTGATTAATCATTAAAAACCAGAAAATGCCTATGGCTTTTAAACTATTCCAGATTATAGAAAAGTTTCCAAGTTTTTCTTATAAAACTAAAGTTACATTAATTTTTTAAAATACTTTTTTTAGTTGTAGATGGACACAATATATTTATTTACTTATTTTTATGTGGTGCTGAGGATCAAACCTAGGGCCTCACACATGTGAGGCAAGTGCTCTACCACTGAGCCACAACCCCAGCCTCCTAAAGTTACATTAATATTTGAACCTGATAACAATAGTACAAAATGAGAAAACATCAGAATTGTAAACATAGATATAAAAATTCTAAATAAAATGCTAACCCCTTTAAGCATCAGTATAAAGAATCATAAAATTTGCCTTAGTAGGGTACTTGAGTATGAGTATAGTTCAACTTTGGAAAAAAATCTATCAGTGTAATCCAATGTACTTATTAATTGCATCAACAGAGAAAATCATGTAATTTAATGTATAGATGTCTAAAAGAGATTTGATAATGTTGGTCATTTCTAATAATACCTCTAAAATAACAAAGGAAGGAACCTATCTAACCTTGGTAAATGCTATTTACCAACATTACACTAAATGTTTAAATATTGAAGTATTGCCACTAAAATCAGAAATACAGAAATGCCTACTATAATATGTACTTGCCAGTATTCTTTTAGAAGTTCTGATATAAGGTCAAAATGGAAATCATTGACATCTTTTTTTTCCTGTTATGACTGCACACAAATTTCAGAAGACTCTTAAAGAATAATTAGAATTGGGAAGAGAATGTGGTAGATTAACTGGGTACATTAAAATATATATATATATATATATATATATATATATATATATAAACCAATAGCTTTCCTCTATAATCTAGCAGCATCCAGGCATCTACAAAAATTATTCTGTGCTTGTGAAGAGTATATGACCTAGACAATTAAAACAATACTATTTTATGAAAGATTATAAAATAAAACTAGAATAAATGGAGAAACATGGATGTGAGAACAATATGATGACAATGTCAAGCTCAATTTCATATTAAAAATTCATGCAATTTCAATTTAAAAATCCCAGTGAGTCTTCTAAAGGAAACTGGGTAAAATGATTTTAATGTTCTTATGAAAGACTAAATGTAAAGAAAACTATGAAAAAGAATATAACTGAGGATGGATGTGCTTTTTGATATTAAAATTCACCATAGAGTACTGTAAAACAGTATGGCATCAGCAGAATAACAACAAATAAGTCGGCAAGATAAAATATATGTCAGAAATAAATCCAAGGATATACATAAAGTGTCATTTCAGCTCATGGGGGTAAAGGATGACTTACTTCATAAACAGTATTATAATAAGTGGTTCTCCATCCAAGAGAAAAGAGAAATGAGACCCCTTACCAAACATCATATACAAAAAAAATTTAATTGTATAAAAATCCAAACAAAATTAAAATAATAAAAATATCAGAAGAAAAACTAGGCACACATTTGTAGAATCTTGGGGTAGAGACGATCTTTTTAAGCAGGACAAGAGTTATAAAGGAAAAATATAAACATATTTGAACATACCAATATTAAAGATTTTATATATCAAAAGATTGTATAAACAGTAACAAGATAAATCAGACTATAAAAATGTGCAGCAAATATATTAGAAAGGCCTTACAAAAGATTCCAAATAGAAAATGAGTACAGGATTTGAACGGGCAATTTCTCAGAGACAACACAAAGGGCTATCAGATATATAAAAGTATTAAACTGTACTCAAAGTCCAGTCAAAGCAAATTCAATGACAATATATTGTTTAACCTGTGAAATTGGCTGTAACACCCACTGTAAGGCCAAGAGGAAAGGATCCTCCTATACATTTCTGGAGGAGTGTAAATTGACTTTATCCTAGAAATTTATCTTCAGCACATATCTCTATTCTAGGTGAACAGCAACAAAAAGAACAGACACAAATCTCTGCATTCCTGGAGTTAACACTTAGCAGAAAATAATTTGGTAACATCTAATAACATTTTTAAAATAGTACTTGACCTTTCATTTGGTAATCACATCCTGACAGAAACCATTCTATAGAAATCAAAGCATAAATACACAAGGATTGTATGTACAAGGATAGTCACTCCCTGCCTTCTTGTAGTGGCAGAAAACTGAAAACTACCTAAATGTACACCAAAGGAGTACTGGTTGGCTGAATTATGGTAGTTTCAATTTATATTGAATCTATATTCCCTTACTGAAGAGAATGAGATTGAGTTTGGCCTACTGACCCAGAGGAATGAACATATTGACTTGTAAAGATGAATAATCTCATCTTTACAAAGAGGCATCAGACCCAAATGCTTTAACCAAAAGGTTAAAATCATTCAACCTTTCTTGGGGCGTCTCTTTGTACAGGTTTGTATGAGCATGAAGGGAAGATACAAGTCTGTTAACTATGATTACTTCAAGAAAATAAGCTTGGAGGAAGTATGGGGGTGAAATAATTAAGTTTTTCTTTATACCTATTTTGTACTGTATAACATTTGTTCTAATAACACATATTCCGCAATTAAAAAATCTAATAAAATTAAAACTCACTGGGTGTAGTGGTGCATGCCTATAATTCCAGCAACTCAGGATGCTGAGGCAGGAAGATCACAAGTTTGAGGCCAGCTTTAGCAACTTAGCAAGACCCTGTTCTCAAAATAATAAAAAGAGCTAAGGTGTAGCTCAGTGACAAAAGCACACACCTAGGTTCAATCCCCAGTACCAAAAATGAATAAGTAAAAATTTAAAACTCAGTTAAGACATTTTTTAAAGGCTAGTAATGTTCCAGGTAATGGAATTAAGGGGGAAAGTATTTTACTTTCTTCTTTGTATCCTTCTGAATTTTCCATATTCTCCCCAAAAGAATGTGTTTCAAAGAAATGTTTAAAGGCAACCAATAGATTTGGCAATACGCTTAATGTTGAAAAGAAAATCGTCAAACACAGAATGGAATCAATGCTGAGGTTACAAATCAGATAAAAGACTTAAGTGTATGGACTAAGATTGAAAAAGAACAATTTCTTGAATAAAGAAGGTGGCATTGTGAAAGATCTTTTTTTCCCCCCAACTTTTGTAACAAAAGCATGCAATAAAAATAACTTACAAGCCTTCATCTTTGTATAGCTGTATATTTGCCCCTTCAAAAAAAATTTTTTTTTTCTGAAGACCAACCAAAGTGTGCTGCCTTGGGGGAAATAGCAACTAGACCTTTGAAAATCTATTACAACTACCACTTCAAGAGAGAGTGGTAAAATCAATAGGGGGTAGATGGACACAATTAAAAAAGGCTAAAGCAGGGGAGAACCTCAAATTTTGCTACTGTTCTAATGATAGAGGGCAACCTAGAATTGAACTAACCTTTATTAGTATGGCATAAGGGAAGGAACTCTTTTTCCACCTCTTCCTGTGTCAACTATCTTGGGATAGTTGTGAAGGATGCTCCATTTCTCTGTTAAGAGACCAAACCAGTCTCTTTTAAGCTCATGGAGGAGTGGACGGTAGAATCACTGCCTTCAATTGACTGGCTGCTATCAGTCAAGGCCTACACTGAGGGAAAATAAATTGAAGGTAGACACTCTGGGGCTCCCAATTCAGCTTTACTAGCAAAAGTCACACATTCAACTGGTGGTTTCTTGTGTCTATTTTCAATATAGTTAGAACCCAGAGGGGAGGACAGACATTAAAACTTCCAAAACCTCAACAGATAACTTTTCAATATTCCCCCTTATTTCAAAGAATCTCAAGCAAAAGGAAATGGGTTCTGCATTTAAAGTCAATTACAAGCATGGACAGTCAAAAATCAATCTCTTGGAAAGCAAAATAATACAGGTCTAGTTAACTATTGTATAATATTGGCTAATGTGCTTAGATATTTCCGTAATTCACAGCTAAATGTTATCTAAAATTCCTAAGTAGGTTTTCAGAAGCAAAGCATCCTAGTGGCTTTATGTAGCTGTGTTCATCAATGTCAGCAAGACAAGTAACATGGGAGGCAATGGAATGGGGAGAAACCAAGTAAAGGAAAACAATTCTTGATTTTGACCTCAAATTTGATGGACAAAATATTTCCACCTTGGAGATCAGGAAATAATTTAAAAACTCAAGTAGGGACAGATACCATGCCTGATATGCAACCACAATGGTTACTTTGGTGCAAGAAGTGCTAACTACTGAAGGGCTTGCACCACTTCTACTTTGTAACAAGGATTTATTAACTGTGTGATCTGAGTCTCCTCATTTCCACATGGATGTGGTGAGTGTGTGTGTGTCCTGTCTATAGCCAACACTCCACTAGGGTAACTTAAAACAAAATAGTAATTTATTTACAACGATAGCAAAGATGTCAAAAATAACAGAACAATATATAACAAATCAAGAATTATTTTATGAAAAAGGCAAACAATATATACACGAAACAAAAGATAAAACAAGTAAAATTCATAGGGCAAACTTAATTTTGACCTTATCTAAAAAGCTGCAGAATGCAGCAAAATGATTTTTGGATATGAATTACTTAAGTAACCCTGGGCCAATTAAATACACACGCACACATACACACACAACTTTTAAAAACCTTTTTCTCTTACTTGCCAAATTTTCCTCTGAATTCAATTTATCTTTGAAGAATGCAAACTTTGGGGGAAGGGCTTAGAATATTTAGGAAATGTTGTCTATTTACATGCGCACTAAAGAATATACTTACTGGCAGCCTCACACCTTAATGGTAAACTGAAAGTAGGAAACTCTAGGTCCTATTTCACCTTCACCATTCATTTCTGGTTGCTTTGTTTTTGTGATTTTCTCATCTACCACCCAAAATGTTATGCCAGCGATCCTTTAAGTTCCTCAAGTGCTCTAAAATAGTGTTTTCCAAACTTGAGTATGCAACAGAATTACATAGGGAACATGTTATAACACAGATCACTGGGCCCACACCCAGTTTCCCAATCCAAGGGGTCTGGGGTGGGGCTGAGAATTTGCATCTTTAACAAGGTCCCAAGTGAACCATTCTGCCAATGCTGCTGAGTCATACTTTAGTAGCCATTGCTCTGAGAGATAACCCCTTTTAAGGTTTGATTGGTTATGCTTCTCCCTACATAAATCCTAGAATTTGTGGGAAATAAAGGAAATTGCTAATACTGAGATTCTCTACAGAATACAGCAGCATATTACCTGACTAGTCAGGATCACAGTTGGGTTAGATGCCATTTGTCAGGCACTCTATTAAAACAAAGTTTTTGACAGCATGGTCTGGTTTTATTGGATTTATGGCTCTGGACAGTGATGGTCACCACATTCTCTTCATCATTTACCTCAAGTTTTGGTGTTGGTGGTTTACTGTTTCATCTATTAGGTCAACACTTTGCTCCTACAGTTGAAGAACTGCAGAATCTCATCTTTAAAATCAAAGGTGACACAAATCTTTGATTTCTGAGAACTTTTACCTAACTTTTGATTTTTCCTATGACAATGACCATCCTGTACTGTGTCAACATCTACTAGAGCCTTCCAAACTGGGCACAGAGGGGTAACTCAAGGGCAGGGCTTCTGTAGTGGAGTGGTTAACAGTCCCCACTGATTAAATGTGCAGTGGATTGATACTGAAATGAACTTTAAGTGCTCTCAAAACCCATTTTATGCATGGGTAATTTATCTCAGGGGAACTGGAGATGCTAATAAAACAAATCCTTTATAAAGATAAAAGAAAAAATGAATTTCAAGGACATGCTCATCAAAGGACTCACCAATCACCTCTTAACTTCTCTGAAATATTACTTGCAAATTCACAGGACTGAAATATTATCAGTATTTGCATCCGACTCACAAAATTCAAAGCAATCAAGCATTTTGCATTCCATTGCTGCATAAAAGGGAATTAAGAAATGGGGGGATGAAAATAATCCACTGCTTTTGATGTTTATTAGGTTTACAAAAACTGTACATTTTTTTTTCCTTAAGAAAAAGCATTAACTTAGTACTGGTATCAAATAGACTAAACATTCATTAACAGGAAAATATTCTGATTTTTATTTTTGCACGTTATTCTCAAGTACACAATTACAATAATGTCACACATCCCTATATGATTTCCTTTTTATGTATTTTACTTTTTATACAAAGTATACAGAGGGAGGGACATACAATATTTAATAGGATATTTCTACAGAACAATAACTTATATTATGTCCTTGTAAAAATCTGTACCTCTTTAAAACATTTAACTGAAACATCCATTTTTTTAGCTTTGCTAATCAAATTGTTTTAAGAATTAAAACTAGGTTGTAACTAATGTCAGTACATAACAGTGACTACAATTTCATTTTCTCTTTATACAGACAAATACATTTTATATTCACTTGACCAAACCCTTAAATACCTTTTAAAGGCTTCAATATTGTGCTTTAAAAAGAAAAGAAATGTGTATGAATCCAGATTATGTAAAGAGAAATATAAAGTGTGTAAAGTGTTGTGTTCTTTATCTTTCAGTTTATTTAAAAAAATATAGTTAAATGACCCAATCATTTATATTTTCTGTAATAATTTTACAGGATGTTTTAAAATTAATAAATTTCTATTTTAAGTGTTTTACATTATTTCTGGGGAAAATAAAAATTAAGGGAGATTTTAAAGGTTCTCACAAAAAAACAGACAGAGCTTTCAAGAATAGTAGGGCAATGAATGACAGAATTGTAAGTTACTTTAAAAAAAAAAAAAAACAACAAACATACTGTGGGGGCCAAAGGGGCATAGGCATTCCCTATGGAGCCGGCTAGGGGAACCCATGCCTTAGCTTTGACTGGCATTTAGGCTAGAGTTCACATGAGCCTAAAGCACTTGATTTAGAACTAGCCTAAATCAATCTCACACTTCAGGGGCTTGCCAAACACCAAATATTTAGATTCCTAACCCTAAAAATATAACTCTTGAATACAAATATGGATGGCAAAGAGAAAGATGAAAGGTAAAAACCTAACGGCACAAAGGGGATGGAGCACCATAATGAGGCAGCAAGGCAGCTATCAAGTGGGAAGAAAATTTCTAAATCTCCCATGATGTGCCAGATCCATGTGCCAACAGCCAATTCTAGGCCCCCCCCCAACTGTTTTCTGTTCTCCAAGAGTCATCTTAACATAACTAAATTCTAATTAACCAAATTCATTTTATAAACGTTATGACTCTGATTCAGACCTACATGTTAAAAACTGCCAACTCTCAAAGAAAAACAAAACTGAAAGACTTGGTGAAGTTCCAAATAAGGCCTCAAACTTTCCTTATGTACTTGGAACACACCTCTATCTTCTAACCTAAGCCAACTTGAGTGTTAAGTTTTTTAAAAGTTTGCTAACTTTAACTGTCTAAGAACTAACAAAGCAGGCTGAACTTGCCAAGTGTAAGTCATAATTAGCACCCGTTCTCTGGTCCATGGAGCCATCACTTCTTCTCTGTCCCCCCCCTCACTTGGTGAGACAGAGCTCTCTCTCCAGCTTCTCAGAGAGAACCGAGGGAGTCACGTCTGGATATTCATTAGCTTTTCAGAAAAATATAAAGGCATGGAGCTGAAACTGTATGAAAACATTCTATCTAAAAACATCTTAACCTCTATTTTTTCAATTATTTTTCAATTACCAAAGATATTTAAAAGAAAATACCTTTACTCTTTAAAAATACTAGTGTCCTTATTTTCCTTCTAATTCTTCACCTGAGTAGTCTCTCTGAAGAGCATGACTTACAAAATGCTCTCTCATGCATCCCTGGATCTTTCATGTTATTGTAAATTTAATTAATACTTTTCATTATAGATTTTAAACAAATACTACTTGGGGTTGTGTGTATAAATATGTAAAATAAGCAATACACACAGATACATGTTATATATATATGTATACATATAATTCAGGGTACATTTACATATATAAAGTTGCAAAAGATCCTATGAGCCGCAAGTTACCTCTAGGAGATTCCAAAATGCAGTCCTCAGTAAATTTCATTTGTAGCACACAACCATTCCAAGACAAAGCAGCACAGACAGAATAATCAAAATACATCAGGAACAAGCAAAATTTTTCAATAAAGTTTTCTAAAAGTTTGCTATGCTAACAAAAGATGTAAATAGTCCAAAGAAAGCCAAAAAGAAGTATATTTTGTCTTCTAAACAAAATGAAAAGTAAACACAAACCCAGCCACTATTCTTAACTCAGCTATGCCAGGGACACAAAAGCTCAAAAGGAAACTTTCCTTGTTATATGGTCTGAAAATATTAAACAAGACAAGTAAACACTTCCATGTTGTGATCATTAGACTTGACTGTAAAATCTCCCATTCATATTCAATATCTCTGACAATTTTATTGTGAGAAATTTATGGGGAAAAAGAAAATGAATCAATATGAATACTTTCAGAGTTACCAATCTAAAGTTACCTTAAGTTAAAAGATCTTAGAAGAGTACCATCAAGGTAGGCAAGGTAATTATTTAAATAAATATAAAACTTCTAAGATAGAAAAATTCAGTATAGAACCAGGGATTACTTTATTAAAAGCAACTAACTTGTTGCTACTTTTCCCCATTTATTAAACAAACTGAATAGAATTCAGAACACGCTATTGAACAAAATGTTAAAAAAAAAAAAGTCAACTAGAAGCAATAACTCTATTTGTACACAGCATAAATCAATATACAGTATTGTAAGTGAACAAGACTGATTGGCTTTAAAAATGAATTTCCTGCTTCAAGGCCAGTATCTCTACAAACGTCTGTAGATGTATCGTTAGGGCAGGCCAACTTCTTTGTGATGTCGCATTATGTGCTGGTTCTTTTCTGAAGGTCTTCGGAAACCTTTCTTGCAGTACTCACAGCGGTGAGGATAGTCTTTCGTATGAATGGAAATAACGTGCCGTTTAAAGCCTGAGGCATCTGTAGTGCTATACTCACAGTACTCACATTGATACACTTTTCGGCCACTGTGTGTCTTCATATGCTTTTTAAGCTCATTCTGTTGCCTAAATCCCTTTCTACACCTCTTACACCTAAATGGAAGGTCCTTTGTGTGAACCGAAAGAATATGGCGACTTAGCACAAACGGATCTGCAATCTTAAAGTCACAATGTCTACACTGGTGCATTTTTTTACCCTTGTGGGCAGCCACATGTTTCTTGAGTTCCGAAGGCCTGTGAAAGCCTTTATCACACATGTCACACTTATGAGGGTAGTCCTTCGTGTGAACTGAAATTATGTGTCGCTTCAAATCACTTGAGTTCGAACTCTTGTGGTCACAATGCAAACACTGGTGTGTTTTGCTTTCTTGGTGGATAAGAGCATGTTGCTGCACCTCTTTGGTATCTGAGAAAGTCAGAAGACAAATGTCACACTTGAATGGCATCTCTTTACTATGCTTAGTTTTTACATGTGTTTTCAAGTTAGAAGAGTCTGCAGATCTATATTCGCAGTACTGGCATTGGTACGGCTTCTCGCCAGTATGGATTCGCATGTGCTTTTTGAGCTCTGATGGGTGCCGAAAACCTTTACCGCACTCTACACAAATATGAGGAAAATTCTTGCTGTGGACTGCCAAAAGGTGGCGATTCAATAATCCTTGTTCAGCTGTCTCATATTCACAGAATTTACACTTGTGCATTTTGTTGGCTCCTTTTTCCTTATGCACCATTTTGTGAGTAAACAAAGCCCCAGCATGAGAGAAATGCTTGCCACACTCATCGCACTCGATGGCCTTCTCTGCCTTGCTGGTCAGCTTGTGGCTCTCCAAGTGATTGTGTAAACTTATCTTCTTGTTGGTAGTGTAATCACAGTCAGTACAGCGGTACTTCTTCTTGGCAAGATGTTCAGGATGGTTTTTCATGTGCCTTTTCAAGAAACCTCGCGACTTAAACTTCTTCCCACAAATCATGCAAGGGTAGACAGTCAAGGGATGTCCATCAGGGCCAATAATTATTGCTAAGAAAGGAAAAGAAAAGATCATAAGGAACCAAACCAAGTTCTGTTTTGGTTTCTTCAAATATTTAGTATGTGCTCTGAACACTATTGGCCATGGGCTCACTCTTGTTACACTATCTGCTACTAACATCCCTTTTATCATTTTCAACGTAAGAGATATAATGAGAACCTGGTCTGGAAACTTCACTCTGCAGAACTATACCAACCTCACTCCCTCCAGTTTAACAAAATTAATGAATAAATATGTAACCTCTATCAACCAGTGATTAAAACCATATCAATTCAGAAATCTTGGAAAAATTATTTATAAAAGTAAAGTTTTATAATCAAAATTCCTGCTTTGGTTATTAAAAAAACATAATTTATGCTAATTTACAGTAAAGCTTAAATATAACCATAAAATTTTTAATATGCAAATCATTAGACAAGAATAGACAAGAATGTCATATGCTTTGAAGTACTTAGCCTGCTGCTCTGTAAATTATGCCTGCTTTATGCTGATATAATTAGATTCTTTAAATATATTAATTTTTTAAAAAATGTTAATGCTTGCAACATATTTGAGGAATTCCTTTCCATTTCCACATAAAAATCATCCAAGTTTTAAGTTTTTTCATCCATGTTTGATCAATCCCGTTTCTTCTTACCCAACAAAATCATTCATGAATATCACTGAATTCTGAAAATTATATTTTCAAATTCAATACACGAAAACTACATGTAGTCTAGCAGCTAAAATGCCATCACGACACCCCTGTGGATACATTCTAGAGTTTCCTCTGAGAGCTCAGAGCTCGCTGCGCCATGGAACTCATGCGCCCTCACCTGTTTGGTACTGCCTGGAATCAGGTCTTCTCCTTTTCTTTGGTTTTTGCTTAGCCAGTCTGCCGAGGCCAGCAGACTCATCTATGTGCAAGAGGGCACTTGCAGTGCCATTCCGGTTTTCAATTCCATCAGAATTATTACCTAACAATGCGCATTAGAAAACAAAATTATACAGTATTATAAATTATAAAGAATTAGGAATTCTTTATTAATTACGACAATGAAACGTAAGCCATGATACTCATGAATGACAGAAATGCCTCATTCTAGGTAATGGGTTTTATGAGCACATTTACTATAGTGAGACCTTAGGAAGTCCCTAGCTAAATTCCAAAGCTAAAAACACATGTCAGCAGTTTCCCCTCGAACTCCCTTGTTTTCTCCCAAAATTATAGTCATGGGCCAGATATGATCAAGATAAAGTATCAGCGTGAAAGCCTTGTACTTCTTGCAGTACTTCCTTCTACATAATATACACAGGGTAAGGAAATTCCTGTTAAAAATAAAGACAAAAAATTGACTTTATAATCTTCCTCTACTCTTGCTTAAGTCAAATAATCCTGATAGGGAACTGGTATTTCAGATTTCAGAAACCTAAGACCACAGAAACTGTTTTCCTACCACGAATTTGCAGTTCAAGAACCAACTCAGCCAATCCTCAGGGCTGCTGTGTGTGTGTGACTTACCGTAAGCTGCTGCCCATGCAATTGGCATGAAGGTTTTGATTTCATTGTCATCCATTTGCTGTTCATGCACAGCAGCAGCAGCTGCTGCTGCCGCTGCCGCATCCTCCTCTCCTACGATCACTTCCATATAAACTTCATCAGCAATTTCAGCAACATCTAAATAGAAAATTATAAAAACTTTTCTGACCAGGTTTACAGAGATCACAGAAAAGATACCTATACCTGAATTCAGTAATAAATGGAAAGAAGATCTAAGTATTATATACCAAACAACATAGCTTTCATATAGTAAGCACTCAATATAACACTTGTTGAATCAATCATTCATTTCTTGGCTTTTACCATAATTTGGTTTTAAAGCAACATTCTAAACGTAAAGAATCATTGATACTTCTCTCAGAATATGGCAGTATAATAAGAACTAAAATGATGCTACTTGTTCCCTTCAAATACTGGCCATCCTTAACAGAGAGAGGGAGAGCTCGAGCTATAAAAACGTAAAATTTTCTCCCACAAAAAGGCCACCTACTTACTTAAATCTTCATCTTCTTGCTGAGAGTCATTGACAGTCATATAAACCATCTTTTCCCTGGGAACACGAATACTGCTGTTCTGATCAAGCAGTTCAACTCCATGATCATTCTCAGGCTCACTCTCCACAATGTCTACGGTTCCACCTATTGGAAAAGACAACTCCAAGAATTTATTTGAAAATTCATTTCCACTTCTCTCTTTTAACATACTTACGAAAAATTACTTTTTATATGCTGTCACTACTTTAGAATTCTTGTTTAAAAGTTATCTCCAGCTAGGCATGGTGGCACATGCCTGTAATCCCAGATCCTCCTTAGGGTGAGGCAGAAGGATCTCAAGCTCAAGGCTAGCCTAGGCAATTCAACAAAGACCCTGTCTCAAAATAAAAAATAAAAAGAGCTGAGGATTTATGCAGCTCAGTGGTAGAGCATCCCTGGGTTCAATTCCCAGTACTACACATAAAAAATAAAGTTATCTTCAGAAAATATTTCAAATGCTGTCACTTTAATCCAAAAGTAATCATGTTGAATTATTTGGTCAGGATGAATAATGTGCTAAGGTTTCCTCTTACCTAAGTCATCCTCTCCAGGGTCAGCTTTAAAAATGTACACCTTGATGACTTCAGGACAAGTGCCATCCACTTTACAAGGATCAATTTCTGACTCTGCATCCATAGTCATTCCAGATGAACCGTCATGTTCTATTTTGCCAGCATCATCCACTAAATAGGCAGGAAATACACCACAATTTATAAGAGATACTTAAATAAAACATTACTGTTTTCAAAAGTCCTTTTCACAGCTGGGCAAGGTGGTATATCCCTATAATCCCAGCAACTCAGGAGGCAGAGGCAGAAAGATCATAAGTTTTCGGCCAGCCTCAGGAGCTCAGCAAGGCCCTCAGCAGTTTAGCAAGGCTCTGCTTCAAATTAAAAAATAAAAAGGCTGGGAATGCAGCTTTATGGTAAAGTGCCCCTAAGTTCTATATCCAGTACAAAAAAGAGTTCTTTCACAAATATAAACTCTAACTTGATTCACATAAAATGTTGATGCTTTTACCTAGTCAAATAATTAAGTTCACTAAATACATTTCTTTATAAAGACATTTTAAAATGGGATCAGATATTAAAGCAAAACCTATTACACACAGAGGAAACTCCTGGTATTCTAGAAAACTATGTGTAACAAAAGAATATAGTTAGCCTTTGCTAAGCCATAGGTAAAGGCATTCCTACCTTATTTATTTATTTGTGCATACATACATACAGTGAACTGAACTCTGAGGCACTACCCATGAGCTACATCTCTGGCCCTTTTCATTTTGATGCAAGGTATGGTTAAATTGCCAAGGCTGCCCTTGAACCTGAGATCCTCCCACCTTAGCCTCCCAAGTCACCGGAATTACAGGCATATCACCACACCCAGGTAAAGATATTCTTTTAATACTTAAAATGAAGACCTTGAAAGAACGTCCTTGTAGTAAAATAAAAAGAAAGGAAGTCTTTACATAAATATTTTATAAGCACTACTTCATAGTTACTATCCTTGAATATCATTTGATCTATTTCCATCAGAATAAGACACTTAAAAACATAATCAAATATGATTGGCAGACAGGCGCACTGTAATGAGATGGCCAATGGAAATTCTGCTTAAACTTAAAACTGTACATAGTTTTATATACACATCATACACACAAATTTATTACAGTATGAGTCTAGGTTCTTGATGGCAAATGCAGCAATAGGAGATTTCAAATATATTCTCATATACCCACTGTCCTCCCTAATGGCTGTGTTATGTTGAAAAGAAAAAAAAGAAAAAACGAGGTACATATAATTTCTTAGTAGCAAAGAGTCAGGATATATAACCATCATTACATTTTTTAAGGCTTCATAAAAATAGCAAAGGAAATAAGTGTGCTATTATGCATAAGACTTGGAAATAAAACACAGGACAAACAATGTCTTTAAAAAAAGACTGCGGAGGATGTAGCTCAGTGATAGAGTGCCCGTGGGTTCCATTCACAGTGCAAAAACAAAAACATAAACTAGACTCTGGATTTGAAAACTACCCCAAATATAATCCCCATATAATGTAACCTTACACTACACATCACTTCTGAGCATCTCTAGCACAAGAGAAAGTGTGGCTAACATTAATAAAACTTAGCACCTAGGGTACCCTAACAATGCTGATACTATTAAAAAAACACTAAAGGAATGTTCTCTCTGCTCTAGGCCCAGCTAGAGACCAAACAGAAGAGAGCAGGACCAAGGTCCAGAAATGGTTCATTTAGCTTGCCTTCAATACCCTCAACAAGTCTTTCCATTTCCCCTTTTCCTTTTTTTTTTCCCCCCTTTCTGGTTTTCTACTGCTAGACAGATCTGTTTCCTTTTGGTTGGACATTTATGTTTTATTCAATTCAACAAACAGTGAATCACAATGGTCTATTAGATTTTCTGGTAGGTATTGGAGATACAAATATAAAAAAGTGATGTACTCCAGAAGTTTACAAGTCTAGTGGGAAAAGAAACAATTAGATAATTATTTTAAAATAGAGTAATACAGCCACCACTTATTACGTGATTAAGAATAAGTACTATTTAATACAATACATTTAATACATTTTACAATACAACAAACTAAAGTGTAGAGAAGTTGAGTTAAATTTTTTGGAGTCACACAGAATTCAAGTCACAAGCCACATGAGTCCTAAGAATCTGTCAACTTCTGGGGTTTGGAGAATGAGATGGAAACTGGCAGAAACCATGGATTTTTGAAAAATTAATAAATAGTATAACCATCTAAAGATGCTTTCTTTTAACTGTGATATATATACACAATGGAATATTACTCAGCCTTAAAGAAGAATAAAATTGTGGCATTTGCTGGTAAATGGATGAAATTAGAGAATATTATGATAAGCAAAATAAGCCAATCCCAAAGAACCAAAGGCCAAATGTTTTTTCTGATATGCAGATGATAATTCGCAATAAGGGGTGTGGGGGGGGAATAACGGTATTCTGGACTAAACAGAGGGGAGTGAAGGGAGGAGAGGGGGCAGAGGGGGATAGGAATGATAGTAGAATGAATTGGACATTATTGTCCTAGGTGCATATTAATGTAATCATACCTATGTAACTCTACATCATGTACACCAGACGAATGAGAAGTTATACTCCATTTATGCATGGAGTGTCAAAATGGACTCTGTCATGTATAACTAATTAGAACAAATTTTTTAAAAACTGAAAGATGCTTTAGTGGAAATTAGAAAAATGTGCCCATGACTCAGGCAGGCAGAGCCAGTACTGCAACCAAGGCTAGGTGAATAACATTTTAAATCCATAGTTATCTCTTTTGTAATTTATACCCATTAAACCAAGACAGAACCCAGATTTTGACATTTTTGAAATGATTATTTTGCAAAGTCCTATCCTATTATCAGGTCCTAAAATTATATTTATGAATTTTTATATAGAAAATCAAGATGAGCCAGGTGCAGTGGTGCACACCTGTAATTCCAGCAGCTCAGGAGGCTGAGATAGGAGGATCATGAGTTCAAAGCCAGCCTCAGCAAGGCCCTAAGCAACTCAGTGAGACCCTGTCTCTAAATAAAATACAAAATAGGGCTGGGGATGGGGCTCAGTGGTCTTGTGCCCCTGAGTTCAATCCCTAGAACAAAAAAAGAAAATCAAGATGAATGCAGTATTCCCAAAGGCAACATTAAAAAGCAAAAATGTACTGGCAATTTATCAACTTGGCTTCTGACTTACTGAGAATCAAGACCATCTATAACCCAAATAAATTACTGCAGAGAGCTGCAGGCAAACAACATCCTCAAACCTTTCTTATTTGTCATTCACAAACAAAAAATTATAAAATTTAATCAGCTTGCTTCAAATGCAAAATGCCAAGAATCTTTGGGCTGAAAACAGTTGTTTTGGTCTATTTTTGACACTGTAACATCATTAAATAGCAAACCACATTTTAATATATATTTGATTTAAAACCAAACACGTCACTTTAAAATGCACTTGATAAATCATACTTTTCCTTACATAATTCAAAGTAAGTTAAAAATGAAGGTTACTTGGCTGGGGATGTAACTCAGTGGTAGAGCACATGCCCAACATGCACATGGCCCTGGGTTCCATCCCTAGCACTAGGGGAAGGGAAAAAATGAAGGTCACAGAGAAAAAGCAAAATCTTGTTTACATACATTTGCGTTTACACATATTACAAGATGATACTGAAGTTGAACTGTCATGAAATCTTTAATAACAAACTGATACAGAACACGAAAGAGGATTAGTCATAAGATTGGCAAATGTTGCACTGTACATTGATGGCTGCCATGGAAACAAAAAAAGAATATATCACTCAGGCTAAGAAACACTTATTTCAAGTAAAGGCAGAGACACAAAGGTAGAGTGACAAGAAGTGGCATGATGTTAATGGAACATAACCTTCAGCACTGCTAGGATGGAGAATAAAGCAGGTCACAAAGTATGGTGGGAAACATAGGAGACTTCTAAACCTATGCCAGGTCATGGAGGACTTCACATACCTGGCAGAGAAGCTCACATCTGATCCGGGTAGGCTGGAGACTTCTCAATCTAATCAGGCATCAAAACCTTTTGGGGAACTTAAAAACGTAGGCTCCCATCCCGCAGTTCTACAAAATTAGAATGTGCAGGGATGGGGCCTGACATATATAGACAGATTTAGAGGTACTCCCTACCCTTAGGATTCTGATCAGAGGTTTGGAAATATCTGCTATGACAATGGGAAACTTTTAAGTATGAATGACAAGGTCTGATGCCCATTTTTGCTATACCATTCTGCTGGTCTTGAAAAGGTGAATGCAAAGGGATCAAGACGTGAAGCAGGGAGACCACTGGTGAGTCTACTACAATAATATAGGCAACAGGTAAGAGATGATGCAGACTTGAATCAGGACAGAGGTAGTATAAATCGGGAAGAGGACTGGACTTCATGCCTACCTTGGGACTAAAATGAGCAGGACTCGGTACGTTCCTGAAAACTTAACGTGACACTGGAGCCAAGGAGTATAACTGGGGTTTTTTATTTAGGAGAGTAAATGACTGGGGAAGAAATGTAAGAAAAAAAGGAAAGGGAGTTCTCTTCCTAAATGGTTAATTACTTTACTATCCCAAGGATAATATCCCCAAAAGCCCTCGGAGTCAGTGCTTGTCCCTACTCTTGTGCTACAAACACCCCTTGCTTGCTTCTCTCAGAGTACATGATTCCCTGCGTTATCACTATTTGCATCATCCCCTACCACCTTTCCCAACTGATACTGCAAAACCTATATTTTCATGACTTGGTCTTTTAAGAGTGTGGTGATAGCAGATGCTCAGAAAATTGATGAATCAATAGTTCCATGAATGACTGAAATGTAAAATCAGCTACTAAATATTTGAGTCTGAAAGCTAAATACTGGCACACAAATTGAGAGCCATCAGCTATGTTAACTAAGTCTTGTGATCATACAGTGAGAATCCAGAGTGTGGAGGAGTAGGGAGCTAAGGACAGAGTTCTGGGGAATGCCATAGTTTACAAGGGGACAAAAAGGGCTCCCAAAGGAATCTGTGAAGAAAAAACAGGACAGAATAATAGAAGCAAATGAAGAAAACCAGGGAGGGAATCCTAACAAAGCTCAGGGCAGTAATACAGTAGGCACACAAGCCCAGGA